TCTTCTTCTTCTTGCTTTACGGCGGATCGCAGACTTATAAGTGCATTACCGCCACCAAATGGAAGAAGAAGAAGAAGACGCGTCACACGCCTGCTGTTGAGAGCGCGCTCAGGAAGCGCTTAAGGACAGTCCGAACAGTTCGGACATTGCGTGAATCAGAGGTAAAAAACGATATAAATACTGTTCAGTTTCTTGCACAAACCGATCGTTTCGTGTCTTTACACATCAATGTATCGTCACGAGCCGCAGGGTTTAATTTGGTTTAGTTTGTGTATGTTTTTTTTGACTCTCAAAGCCGTGATTCCCATTCACCTCCATTATATGACTGACAGACTGCAACAGTTTGTGTTAAAAATCTTTGTTTGTGTTCTACTGAAGAAACAAAGTCACCTACATCTTGGATGCCCTGGGGGAAAGCAGATAAACATCAAATTTTAATTTTTGGGTGAACTATCCCTTTAAGCTTTAAAGCGTTTCATCCAGGTCACCAGTAGCAAACAATGGAACGTGCTCTGCTGGACAAACTACGTAATTACACCATTAACAAGCTTTTTATCTGCGTTTTATGTTCTGCAACAAAATGTTCATATCGGTGGCATATTCACCGATACGATATATCTGCAACATATCGGCCGATAAAATCGGCAAAACGATATATCGGTCGGGCTCTAATTATTATTATTATTATTAACATGTGTAATATTTAACAGGCCACTGACCGTCAGAGCATGTGTATGCAAATGTGTGTTTGTGGGAGTGTCTTACGTCCAGCAGTCTGGTCCATTCCAGTGTGTGGTACACTGAGTTCCACAGACACACCTGTCTGTCCTGAGCACAGGAGAGAAACAGGTCCTTGAACGGGTGGGCGGCCAGACCCCACAGCTCATCCGTGTGTCCCTAAAAATAGCAACTCCCATGAAACTAACTCCACAACTACGACTGCAGGTACAAGCACATGTTTGATATCCACTGGCTCTTTGTATGTATTTGAGATATTAAGATTATTGGCTTTGGTTTTGTAAGCATGTGTACAGTGAGTGTGGAACTGCTTATTGATCTTCACTATACTCTTAAAAATAAAGGTTCTTTATTGGCATTGGTGGTTGCATGAAGAACCTTTAACACCCATGGAATCTTTTCATTCCACAGACGATTCTGTATAATGGAAAAAAAAGGTTCTTCAGATCATTAAAATAACTTTCACACTAAGAAAAAATAGGGTTATTTTAGGAACTGTTCACTGAAAGGTTCTTTGGGGAACCAGAAATGGTTCTTCCATGGCATCACTGCAAAAATCCCCTTTTGAAACCTTTATTTGTAAGAGTATAAGGCTGCACATGAAATACATACAGTGTGACTTAAAGTTCTGGTTTACCTGCACTTCCACCTGGAATCCATCGTTGAAAGTGCCTCTCAGAATGAAGTTGCGTGATGTGCCCACCAAAAACTGCTCCCCCTTGCCCTCGGCTACTGCACGAATAGTGCCATACTGATCTGGGACCTGAAGAAAAGCAGACATTATAGATATGTTAATTTCTTATGTTGTTACAGGAGCTTGTTATGTTTCTCATATTATATCCTATGATTTACTGGTAACACTGTATTTTAAGGTTATATAGTTACACGTTACATTTACTAGTGAAACAGTAAATTATGCATAATTACAAGTAACTAACCCTAAACCAAACCCTAAAGTAAGTATATGCAGTTATTTAATATTATACTCTCATTCTTATTTGTGTAAGTGCCTGCATCAAATTAAATTCACAATAGCGATTTTATACACACAGAAAGCATATTAAATGCAAATAAAGTGACTACTTTAATGTTTCAAATAACTTGTGAAAATAATATGGGTGAAATAATGTTCCATCGTCATTCAGTGCAGCAGATATTTTTATGCAAAATTGAAACAACATGCTTATTCTGACCTGTACTTCTAAATATATATAAAAGAAAAAGTCATCATACTAAATTTTATTATATTTTAAATGATTAAAAACTTGCTGACAAATGGGTAAAACCTAGCGGTTTAAAGGATAGTGGCAAATATTGGTAAAGATTTAAAATTAAATTGAGTAAGTTTTTGTGAGGCTGCACTTTGATCGTTAAATAGAGTATTTTAATGCCATCTAATGATTATTGTTCTATATATGACTGACAAGGTTTTTTGGTATATGAACTATTGTTACACTGAATGACATTTTAGTGGGTGTCTGGTAAAAATCATGTTTGATAGTCAATAATTTTTATTCAGAAAAAAAATAAAAATAAACAGCACACATTCTAATGTATGTAAAAGAAAAATAAAGTAAAGCTGTATTAAACTTTTATTGTTTGACCCAATTACACTGTAACACTGTCTCCAAAGTGTAACTTACCTATATTTATCAGTATCATCTATACTACTGTTCAAAATTTGGGGGTCACTAAGAATATTTATTTATTTGTTAATTTATTTAGTTTTTTTTCCCCCACAAAAAATACACAATGTTTCTGTTTTTACTGTATTTTTGATCAGTCTGCATAAGACTTCTTTCAAAAACATTAAAAAAGAAGGTGTAATTATTCCAAACTTTTGACTGGTACGGTATATCAGATATGTATCTCTTTAAAAACATGCATGTGTGAGTGTGAGCTTTAGCACAGCTTGGTCTCTCACCTCGATGTCTCTCTCTGGATTCAGGTCGTGGTCCCACAGAATGATCTTGTGGTCTTTGCCGCCCCCTGTGAGCAGAGTGCCGTTCCTCATCTGACACAGTGTGAAGACGCTGCCGTCGTGAGCCTTGATCTGACGCGTGATCTGAAACGCTCCTGTGGGGGACGGGGCGGGTTAGTAAGACAGATGGAGACCCCCACTCGCACACAATTTCTGGGAATAGAACACCACAAATATCTCTCCTGGCTAATGTGGTTTAAGTGCCAGACTGTTTTGCTATTGGGGATGTGATAGGGCTTTTAGAAAGAGAAGCTCATAGATATGCTTGCCAGTGAGGCCAGGGGTGCATGTGTGTGTGATGATGTTGCATTCTGGGAATTCCAGTAGATTATCACTTCTCCCCGTAATAATACCGATGGCTCGGCTGTCTGCACAAAGAGCCATGCCAAGGGAAATATAGACCCCTGGAGTGCTAAACCGGCCCCGTCAATACACACATAACTCTACACACACGCTCACTTATCTTAAAAACAGACTGTGATTCTGAACAATCTGACATTACACACTGTATCACACCTGCACTACCACACTTCTACAGTTACATGGTATCTGCAAGCATACAGACGCAGAGACAGGAAATCAGCTAGACGAGGCCAGTTCAGGACATGACATATGCCAAATGACTTAAGAGGAAAAGAAGAAATGAATTTCAGCGGCCGGTGCAACACATGTAAGGCTTCATAACAGGAGGATGTCACGAAGCTCAAGCTGAAACTCATTTTCATAAAGTGTGTGCTTGTCTGTTTGTTGGTTTTGCACGGTCACTCCATTTTTCAACTCGTTTAGCATAATACTAATCCACAAAACATACAAGAACAGATGCTTCTGTCTGTGCAAGTTGTATTTTAAATGCCATTGCTTTGAACAATTCAAAATGTAATTCATAACACAACCACAACAGTTTTCTCTTGTAGACTTTGGTGGAGCAACAGTTGGAGGAGAATTAGATAAAGTAAGTTGACAACAACTGGGATCGGGATGATTTTTTAAATGTTTTTGCAAGAAACCTCTTATGCTCATCAAATTTATTTGATCAGAAATACAGTAAAAACAGTGCTATTGTGAAATATCATTACAATTTAAAATAAATGTATTCTATTTAAATATATTTTAAAATGTAATTTATTTCTGTGATGCAAAGCTGAATTACTCCTGTATTCAGTGTCACATGAACTGAAGAAATCATTCTCATATGCTGATTTGCTGCTCAAGAAACATTGATGAATAAGAAGTTTATTTGAAATAGAAATCTTTTGTAACATTATAAATGTCTTTACTTAATGTCACTTTTGATTGATTTAATGCATCCTTGCAGAATATAAATATTAATTTCACTGAATATATATAAAAAAAAATCTTACTGACCCCAGACTTTTGAACGGTAGTGTAATAATACTGAAGACTGTGACTGTGTGTGGGCCAAGCTTCTGATCAGGTGTCATTGATATGTAAATATAGGTGGTCATGTGCTCATGTATTCAGTTGTTTATGTAGAAGTTTGAGATGAGCTACAGTCAGCTGAATTTCCATAAGTGCACTTCTTTGGACTCAGGAAAGAGTTCGAGTTTTGAAAACTGCAGAATGTTTTAAAAGGTTAATGGCATATTTTATTATAAAATATCAAGTAAAACTATTTAAAGTGCTCAACTGGGCTCTATGACTAGTAGCAGTAGTAGTAGTTTCTGTCCTTTAGGGGGCGCTATGTCACTGGACTGTAACGTACAGACTGAGGGGGTAAATAAAGGAGTGATAAATGAGCAGGAGCTGGCAGCGTTTCAGCCTGTGGTGCAGCCATTCCAGTTCCACAGCATGCCAGTGAAAACCATTACAACTCCAGGATCAGCACGGAGAAAACAATCTGTCAACCTGTGCACACAGACACTAGCATATGCGTGCAATATGCGTGCATGCAAACACAGTTTCAGTCACATGTCACGAGCTGTGGACTTCCAATGAAAGTCTTCTTAAAAGGTACTCTCTGCCACGGGTTTCTAGAAGTTTCTCTTTCTGTCACTGTTTTCTTGAAATGATTGTTGGCCTCATTAACATAACTCTCAACTGACGGACATTATAGAATTGAAGAAACAAAATATAACATTAAGGTACCTTAATGTGCCAGGGTACTAACATTTTTTGTTTTCAACACTGATAATAATAAGAAATGTTTCTTGAGCAGTTAGAATGTTAGAATGTTTCGTAGCATATTAGAATGATCTCTGAAGGATCATGTGACACTAAAGACTGGAGAAATGATGCTGAAAATTCAGCTTTGACTCACAGGAATAAATTATTTTTTATTTTTATTAA